TATATATATATATATATAGAGAGAGAGAGAGAGAGAGAGAGAGAGAGAGAGAGATGAGGAGGGCAGAATTTATCAAGGAGATTGAGTGTTTTCCACTGCCTCAAGGCCTATCAAGGTAGTTCATAGGAAGGTAGATAATCATGGACCATAATTTTTGTCTCCACTGCCAGGGAAATCTTTGTTCTCAAGGCTTCCTTTTGTCTATGGAATTAGAAATACAGTTATAATAATTTAACCTGGTGATGTTGCAAGACAAATAGATGAATATCAATTTCACATTCTTTCAAAAGAAGGCCTATGGTTTTTGTTCTCATAATAATTCTTAACCTGGTTCATCACAGAAAATACCGGGCTGCACTTGGGGAACCCACAGAGCCCGGTTATTTGCTAGGCTGGCAGAGGAAAAGATGGGACAGCAGCCTGTGGGCAGAGTAAGCACATGAGGCTCATGTGTTTGACCCCACGGCACAGCCAGAGCTGGGAATCTCAGAATAATTCTGTCGGATTCCCCAGGTCTTTCCTCACTGGCAACTTTATTTGGCTGTATTATCTAGCTGATTGTTTATCTTTCCCATATAAAAGTAGCCAAATACCTAAGAATCTTAGATGGAAGCTGTTTGCTTAATTCAATAATTATCCCTCATAATTTTGCAACCATTTATTTACATAGCCAGGTTTTATCCAATTGGTTGGTAAGATACAATAAATCAGTTCTTTGGTCAGGGTCTATTATTGCTATTCATTGTCTCCTTGAGATTAGATATTCTCTAAATTTCACCTTTAAATTGCATAAGAAACGACAATTCGACCACCTATCTTTTTGTAGTGTGTGTGTGTGTATGTGTGTGTGTGTGTGTGTGTGTGTGTGTGTGTGTGTTGAGTGAATGAAATGAAACATAAGCATATTTGCTGAACATACACCCTGGAGAAAAGACTATTGTAGGCACTTTATGTAGAACTCAGAAAACACAAGACAATCATTCCTTTCAAGGAGCTTACAATCTAGTGGAAGGACAAATGAGCTCAGAGTTGTATGTGCAGCTACTTGTTTTACTTAACATTAGGGAAGTATACAAAGAATGGTACAGAAAAATTCATGTGGGGTCCATAGGAACTTGGACTTGAAAGATAAGCAGGATTTTGAATAGTAGTAATGGGAAAAGGTGGTGGTAATGGCATGGGCACAGTCTTTAAGGCAAAAAGGTAGAGAACACACATGAACAGGAAATGATACGAGAGCTTGGTAGGCACAGGGCACCCACAGTCCAGGCCAAGTAGGGCAGAGGCAATAATGGAAGACAGACAAGTTATAGAGAATTTGCACAGTGGGGCAGTTTTGAAGGGGTCTGGGTTGGAGAGCCGTATAATTAGATTCATTTCTAGGACAATAACCAGAAAAACGAAGTGAAAGATGAGATGGAAGGGCTGTAGGAGATAGGAAGCAGGAAGACTATGCAGGAAGCAGATGGAAGCCCAAAGAAGCATAGCATCAGTGGAAGGGAAGAGGAGATGGAAGCATGCTGGCTCCTACATGTTGATCTTTGCAATTTTTAGTGCTGGATTTTCCTATGCTCTTAGCTGCTGTACATATTTTTTATTTTTTGCTTAGGTCTTCTTTCCTTTTATAAAGATAACAGAATGGAAAGAAAAACTATTTCTTCTATCTTAACCTCTGCATCACAGGCGGAACTTAATCATCTTAGACAGAAGTTCCCATGTGTCACGGCTGCTGTGATAACATACAGCTCTGGGGCTGCTGCAGTCACACATATTATGTGGTGAGAGCTGCGGTCACAGACGGCACGTGGTGAGAGCTGGTTTTATCCATCTTTCCTCCCGCTCCTGCCTCAACTTTGCTGTCCCAGCAGAATACTCCTGGCTTCCCCTATAATTTGATATTATATTTGATCAGCGAGGTTGATTTAGGAAACATGGAGGGCATCACCCCAGCTCTTTGGGTTTGTTGTTCTGTGTCTACAGTCATGTAGCTTATGTTTGCTTCTTTCACTGGTTCTGTACCTTTTTATACTTTTGTTCAACTGATCACATGTTAACATAATTGCTCCTTAGATATTTTTAAAAATAAAATCTTCCAGCAGTTGGCTGACTAACAGACTAACAAAGCATTAAGATAAACCAAAAGACACCTTCAGGGAGCCTAATGGGCGGTGCGTGGCGTGAATACGTTTTAGAGGAGAGGAAGATGGTGGCATATAACACTGCTTGTTGCCCCAGAGATTGAGAAATTGTACATGAGCCCCATTCCCTCCTTCAGAGACAAGCCATTTCACTTGCAGATAGCTCTCTTTTCCTTTCCACTTCTGTATTTCACTCTCCCCATGGGATTCCCGGCAAGGGCACAGTGAGGTAATGAAGAGCTATCAGGAAAGCATCATCCAGGCGGGTGTTTCCATGGTTCCTGAGAAGTTAGGGTGAAGGAAGGTGGCACAAGTTGGGCCTGGAAAGCAAACCTTCTATTCTTTCCTCCTTTCAATGCATCAACACGTACAGCATCCCTCTGAGCAAGGGAGACAGCTCTCGCTTAGTGGTTCATTCAGATTCTGCATGAGAAGGAGAGGTTGTTTTATTTTTCATTACAAGAGGGACGATTTCTTCAAATTGACCATTTTTCCCCTCACTCTCTTCCAAAGTAGCCTGTTTATAATCTACTCTTGTAGATTACAGTACTGAGACAAGTGGAGAGAAATTCAGACATTGAAAAGCTTCAAGACATCCCACAGGGTTGGAACGCTTTTTTCAAAGGGAAGGAAATCTGCAAATGTGTATGTACTTGCCTTGGTCCAGAAAGAGCCAGCTGGACAGCCCGTAAGTGGCTCCCGTTCAGCAACAACAAAGGCCATGTCAGAAGCCAGGGGACAGGAGGCTGGGAACTAATAATAATTTTGCACTTACGCAGCAGTTTTCCTCCGTAGACCTCAGAGCGCTTTCTAAACATTAATTAAATTGCCCCACAGCTCTGTGGGACGGCTGTGTATCACTATTTCCAGTGTGCAGGGGGCGGAGGGAGGAGAAATGTTACGATGCATGGGTGTGCACTCAGAAAGAGCAGAGGGACCTTCTTCCCTGTGATCCAAGGCCGTGATCATAGAAAACCCCAGGACCTATTATTGAGGCCTGCCCTGCATGTGGAAAAAGGTAGTTTGGGTGAGACTGTGTCCTCCAAAAAGACACGTTGAAGTTCTAATACCCAGAACCTGTGACCTTATTTGCAAATAGATTCTTTGTAGATGCAGTCAAGTTACGATGAGGTCATAGTGAAATAGAGTGGGCCTATATCTAATGGCTGGTGCCCTTAAAAGAAAAGAAACATTTGGACACAGACACAGAGAACAGAATGCCGTGTGAGGATGGAGGCAGAGATTGGGGTGAGGTGTCTCCAAGCCAAGGAATCGAGAAGGGGCAATGAAAAAATTCTTTGGAGGGAGTGTGGCCCTGCTGACACGTCCATCCTACATAACTCAGTCTGCCATTAGACTGTGGTTTGAGGAGAAGCTGCTTCCTCCTCTGCTTTGCCTCAG